TGGACTGGCCCCTCGGGACAATGTGTCCAAAGCACATGAGACTATTTTCTTATCCTTGGACGCACTTCCTCCAAAACCAACGTGTTTCTTCTTCTTACAGTCTACTCTTCTCCAACACCACAACTCAAAGGCATCAAACTCTTCTTATCTTTATTCACTCCCCAAATTTCAGAAGCATCTGAAACAACTGGGAAATACTTGGGTCAGGCACACCTTAGTCTTTAAACTGACACCCTTGCTCGTTAGCACTTTTCCTAGGTCCTGACATCAGATTTTCTCCACGCATCAGCCAAGATAGCTGTCCTCACGCATCACCTACTCAGGAGACTCTGAAATGACTCCAGGTTTACGTTTCCCCTTGGAAGTCAAAACAGAATCCAAAAAGCTGGACGAGGGCAAGGTTTGGTTGAGAAAATGAGGGAAGCGTGCAGTATTATTTAACCCCAGATTTGAGGAGCCAGACAGGCCGGGGCGTGGATCCAGACCCAGCTATCTATACGCTCTGACCCTGGCAAGTCTCTTGTCCTTCTAAATCTCAGTGCAAGCCAGGGATCACAGCAGTCCTCTTCCTCAGCGGTCACTGAATGAGATGAGGCAGGTTCATTCTCTGGGACGGAACATCATGTTCAGAACACTGGAGGGTCAGTGAAGGAAAGGAAGACACCCCCCCTACAAGACAGTTTGACGCCAAAACAACTATAAGCTAACATCTCACTCCAGTAAGAAGAGCAAAATTTAACAGAATAGCAAACAACAAATGCTGGCGAGATTGTGGAGAGACTAGAACCCTTATTCACTGTTGGTGGGAGTGTAAAATGGTGCAACTACTATGGAAGGCAGTATGGCACTTTCTCAAAAAGTTGGAAATAGAAATACTATTTGACACAGAAATTCCACTACTGGGGATATACCCTAAAGAGACCATAACTGCCACCCAAGTAGATAAATGCACACCCAAATTTATTGCAGCTTTGTTCATAATAGCAAAGAGTTGGAAACAATTCAAGTGCCCATCAACCAATGAATGGATAGAGAAGCTGTGGTACATTCACACAATGGAATACTATGCTGCACTGAAGAACAAAGAACTCATGAATTATTATACAAAACGGGTGACCCTGGAGAACATTACGCTGAGTGAAATATCTCAGTCACAAAAGGACAAATACTGCATAGTTCCACTGCTGTAAAGCGGACTGACAGCGGGAGAAACTAAAAGGGGATAACTAATATATACTGCATTGAAACAGATGAGGGAGAATACTATTTAGGAGGAATATATGATTATATATGTCAGATTATATAGTGTGTGTGTGTGTGTGTGTGTGTGTGTGTGTGTGTATGTGAGAGAGAGAGAGATTCACAATACAGTATGAGGCCACATTTATTTACAGTTTGCATGGGAGCAACATCAGTCAAAGCCAACGAGACCACAGTGAGCAGCACCGAGTCCAATGAATGGACTAATAAGTAGTGACTCCAGAGAGTGTCCTGGCAGGCACTAGCCAATAGCGGTCAGAATATGTGGCCTACCCAGCTGTCCCTTCCAGAAACGCCTGCACAGTTGAGAACCAGAGAAGGGAAGGATGGGTCTGACAGAGTCTGCTCCCTTCCACTCTGCAGCATAACGCCCAGGTTCCCTCCTTGAACAGAAACAGGTCAGGGAAGTTTCCAGCTCATGGCTGGGGGAAGCTGTCAGCTCTGAAATCTTGGGGGTCCCAGTGAGAACAGGTTCTAGGAATATATGGGGGTTGCTTCCACGTGTTCTAAACTGGGAGAGTATATCACCTTCAAGGGAGTGAAACTTGATTCTCAGGGAAGCAAATGCTCCTAGATATTACTGTGGACAATAGCCCTCCAAACGCAACTCAGTGCAACAAAATGTTGTTCCTTAGAAATATTCTTTTTCCCATTTGAAGTCAGTGAAATGGAATTTTAATTCAGTAAAGTTACTGTGGCTGTATTCTTTCACCATGCCTATTCAGTTTTTTTATGATAAGCAAGTAACCCAGGTAGCTGGACTATATGGAAAAGAAGGGACGATCCCACCAAGCTTGAATGCAAGTTCATTAACATCCTGTGGTTTGCAGATGACACACCAGACTTGTGGGAAGTTAAGAGGACTTGAAGCATTTACTGGAGAAATTCAAACACTACAGTTTTCAGCATAGGTTACACTTCAAGATGAAGAAAACAAAACTTTTCACCACTAGCCCAACAGGCAACAGCATGACAGGTGGAGAAAAGATTAAAGTTGTCAAGGACTTCGTTTTACTCAGATCCACAATTAACATCTATGGGAGTGGCAGTCAAGAAATCAAAAGATGAGTTACGTTGGGAAAATCTGCTTCCTAGGAGCTCTTAAAAGAGCAAGGACATCAGTTCCAAGAGTAAGGTGTGCCTGACCCAAGCCATGGTATTTTCACCTGCTTTCTATGCTCACACAAGTTGGGCAATGAATAGGGAAGACTGAAGAACTGATGCCTTTGAACTGTGGTGTTGGCAAAGAGTACCGAATATAACACAGGCTGCCCCACGAACAGGCGAATCTGTCTTGAAGGAAGTGTAACCACGGCGTTCCTTAGAGAAAAGGATGGTGAACTGTCATCTCAACAGACTCTGGGCATGTGGTCAGGAGGGGTCAGTTGTTGGAAAAGGACATCAAGCTTGCAAACGTGGAGAGTCAGAGGAGAGGAAGACCCTCACCAAGACTGTCTTGCAGTGACTACAATGATGAACTTGAGCACATCAGAGATTATGGGTTTGCCACAAAACAGGTCAAAATGTGGATCTGTTGCACACAGGGTCAATGGCGCCTAACAGCAAAATGAATGTGTGGTTAGGCGTATTACTTCACAGGGCCTTTCTAGCCAGAGTCTTTGTCTCTTTTATCACATGTCTGTGGCACTATGCAAATAAGGTGGTCCACCAAGGGGCTCGAGAGCTTGCTAGCAATAGAAGTAAGGTCATGGTACCCTTTGTGCGAAGCCAAATTTCAAACTAAGTATTTATAATAAACCAAATGCTATATCAGGTTATGAGGGAGGTGTGGATACAAGCTGGAATCCAGTCTGAAGCACTAAGGCAATCCTTAACCGTTTACAGGGGTAGACACTAAGGCAAACCTTAAATGTTTACAGGATTCTTGTATTGTATTTTCTAACCTCTTCCTCCTGAGTCAAACATAAGATTTTCAGTAGAGAGAGCTTAGCTTCATTTGCATAGAATTATCTTTGTGGTTTGCTCCCTGGCAATTTTCAACAAAGGCAAAAGGAACCTGGGCGGCACTTGAGTTGTTCAAACTGTTCGCGCCTCCTGCTTTGCCTCTGTTTACTTAGACATTCTTGGTGTTCTGTCTCGTTATTAATACTTATTGATATTCTTTACCGTCAGTCGACAACAACCCTTTATGGGGTGGGATTACACAAGTGAGGGGTATGGAATCTCAAGGTGGGGATAAGAAAGGCTTAGAAGGAATCATTTCATAGGCAGATAAAGAGAAATTCACCATCACCAACAGCAAGCTGCCGGATGCTTTCTTAGGAACTGAAGTTTCCTGTTCTGGGGCCCTTTAGATCCAGGAGAAGGAAGGAGAGAGGGACTATGAGAGAGAGGAAGACTGAGCGAGCCAGCTGTCACGTCAGAAAGAGGATGGGAACAGCAGCAACAGAGGCAGTGGGGCCAGGACGAGGTGGCACGGGGCGTGTGCTGACCCACAGAGAGAGTGAGCTTAGAGGCTTAGGGCTCGGCTTGACGGAGGCTTACTGGCAGAGGATGACGATGTCTCTGGCACTTGATAGCAGAGCTTAAAAGAGCTCCTTGGGCAAGTGAGGGCAGAGGTCAAGCCAAGGAACAGAGAGAAGCCCGTCCGTGGGCACAGCTGAGAGGAGGCTGTCCAGTGAATGACTTGTACCCTGAGTCTTTCCTGAACCAGAACTGTAACCTGTGACTCCCTTAACAAACAGAACTGTTTGACCGTGAGTTCTGTGTGGCCATTGCAAAGAATTACTGAACACAGTAGGAAGTGCCAGCTGGTGTTAGAACATTAAAAAGGTTAGATTTTGTAGGCATGTGTGGCTTCTGCCTCACAGGACTCCAATTAGAACGGTTCATCAATTCTGTCTCCCTCCTTTGAACTTAAGAGGAGATCAGATGCCACACACAGGCTGTTTTGACAATTAAATGGGATTTTATTTTCTCCTATAAGGAAAGCATCACACAAAAACTGAGAAACATAGATATAGTCATCTTCCAGACTCTCTCACCTTCTTTTCAATGGTACCTGCTCCTCTTACCAGCCCCTCCGACTGCCTCCCACCATGTTCTTCTTTCTCCCCGGGCACATTGTGGTCTTAGGAGCTACTGACCAGCTCCATTCAGAGCAGTGGCCTCTCTGTCCCAGGATACATGGCTACAGCCACCCCCAGTCCTCCCCCTGGTTTCCATGACTTCACTCTCACGGCTCCTCCCAGCTCCTGCCCCTCCTATTCCTTCCACTGCCCCATAGACACCACTCTTTCTTCCCTCACTCCTTTCATGCCTCCAATTCTGCCAGACCCCTTTCTTCAGCACCTACTAGACCCCTCCACCTGGCGTTCCACTGCCACTCAGGACTCAACGTCCTTGTCCACATTCTCTGTCTTCCAAGAAGCCTTCCAACCTGCTCGGTACTTTTCTTTCTCCGCACAGCACTTACTTTCAACCAATTGACACAGATCAATATAGCATTTGGTGTTATCTGCTAATGGTCTAATCCGCTAATGGTCTAATACGAGAGAGTGCTACTTTCCCATTTTTCATTTAAGGATAAAGACAAAATCGTAATTTGAATGGTTTTGCTCCTTAGTCCAGTTCTGCTCTGGACGCTCAGGAAAGCAGGCAGGAGGGCCTTCGGGGATCAAGAGGCTCCCTGGCCGAGCTCAAGGTGGACGGGGCCACTGGTTGCCCAGTCCAGCCTGGACCCTTCTGGCCACCCACAGCAGGCAGTGTCCCCACCTCACCTGGCTGACTCCTTCCATTCCATCTGGTCTCCGTCATGCTGGAGGGTGTCCATCTCTGTGAAGAGGGTGGGGTTGGGAGCCTCATCTTCCTCCCCCAGGATGTCCTGCAGCTGCTCAGCAGCTGGAGACCCTGTCAACGAAGGGAGATGTCCACTGAGTGCCCTTGACCAGACGTGAGGGCCCAGAGCCAGGAGAGAGGAGACCACACAGGAGGGAGGCGGGTTCCCTAACATGCCACGCTGAGAAGAGTGGAGGGTCAGTCCCACCGAGACGAACTGACGTGGTGACCTCAGCAATGGGCTCAAGTGTGTCGGAGATGAGGGGCCGGCACAGGCCAGGCCAGGGGTCAGATCTGTTGTTCACAGGGCTGCTATGTGTCACATTCGACTCAATGGCACCTAACAACCATGGCAGCAGAACTAAGTCCAGGCTCCGAGCAAGGCTGGATTCCTATGTCTACGGGCTGGACACGGATGAGGTCCTCACTGAGCTAACAGCAACGGAAGGAGCTGGTCTGAATTCAGACTCCAGGGCAGCATCACGCCCAAGGCCTCATGCAGAAGTGTGTGGGAGCTTCTGCTGAGCACGTGCAAATCAAAAAGACGACGCCTCTTGCTTCACATGCATTCTGACCTGCAGCCACCCTCCAGGACGAAGCAGAAGTGCCCAACCAGCGTTCCACCGCTGCCGACTTTCCAGAAGCAGGTTCCCACATCTTCCCCCACAAACTGGCTGGTGGAGTCAAGCTGCTTAACTTTCAATTATTGTTGTTGTTGTTATATGCCACTGAGTCAGAATCACACGGAGGAGGCTGTCCAACTTTATCCCGTAGAACAGCTGGTCGATCCGAACCGTGTGCCTTTGGGCTGGGAGCTGAACTCTTTACCACGAGGCTACCTACAAGTCCCAAATGACCCAGCTCCCAGTGTATTGCTTCAAGGGACAGTCAGCTGTGCACACGATACACCTATACCGTGTACCATGGGGCCACCTTCTTCCCAGGCAGGGGCATCACGGTACTGACATCCACCTTCTCTTTTTAAAAAGCCACTGACGTCTCCCAGGCACCCCAAAACTCAGCCCTCTAACACCAAATTCACACATCCCAAACATATTTCTTTCAACCTTTCATGAACATCTACTACATGACAGGCTAGTGGTAAGAAGCTGCTCTGAAATCCCAAAGGCATGCAGCTCGAATCCACTGGCTGCTCTGCGGGAGAAAGACGGACAGTCTCCTCCTGTGCGATTTACTGCCTCTGAAACGGCGCTGGAGGGCCAGCTAGGGGTTGGTGCTGAGGCAACGGCACACAGCAACAACAACAAGGACGTGCCAGACATTCTAGAGGCTGGAAAAGAAAGCTGTGAAAAAGAGTTACACGCCTGTGCTCTCCAGCGTATTAGCACCTAAGAGAGACAGACAGGAAATACATGAATAATTATTTGAGATATGCTAGGTGTTTTGAAGAAAACTAATACGACTCGTAGGAGATCCACTAGGGAGTGTCATCAAAGAAAGACTCCAGGAAGGAGGCGTTTGGAGAGAGACTTAAAGAGGACAAGAGCAGCTCACAAAATATCCCAGAGACCCCGAGGTGCAAATGTGCCGGTCAGGCCCAGTCAGCAAGGGACAGAGCTGTCGGACAGACTGTGAAGAGGTGGGCAGAGCAGGGTCAGATCTTGGCTAAAAGCCCTTCTAGCCACACAAACGCACAGTCCACACTCAGGAGTCACCTCCAACTCCTCCCTGCCTCATCATCTCACCTCATATTCCCCAGGGCCTGTTCCCGTCTCACCAACCCCATCAAGTCCTGACCTGATCCAAGCTCTCACCTAACCCTCATCAAGACTCCCCCTTCCTTCCAGCCTCTGTCCCCCCTTAGCCCAGAAGCCTTTTCTGTTCTCGCCTCTTTCTCCTGGGGCCCCCTCATGCTCAGTTATGTCAACTCCTCTTTCATCCCACTGTCCACTTCCTTACTCCTTCCTTTCCCAACCAAACTAGCCAATCCGTGCCCAGCAAAGAGCACACTGACCCAGTCTTCTCCGCAGGATGTTCCCTTGCAGAGGGCAGAGGGGGAGCCCGGCGGGCACCGGGGCTTGGTGGAGATAGAGTGTCCACTGGACTCTTACTCACTGCCACTTACTCAGGACCAAACTTGGCATGAGTGAGCAGAATGGTTCAGAGGACACACCACATAAAGAGAAGGAGCCCCCTGACCCTGGGTTTCACAGGTACCAGGCATCAGCCCCCCTCACGCTCAACCCCGGAACCCAGGTTCAAGAGCCCTCCAGAAGAAAAACCAGGCAGCTCTGCAAGGGAAGGGTTCCTGCCCTCTGCAGCTCACTCCGTGCCATTCCTCTGCCCCTCTCCTGCCCCACTTCGCCAAGCAAATAAAGGCCAGTGGGCATGAACTGCACCATCTTTCCACCTCCTCCCATCCAGACCCCTGTGTTCTTATCACAGCTGCAGTCTCCTCCTGCTGGATCCTGGTACTCATCCCCCTGCTTCTGCCTGCCTCGCCTGGGCCTTCTCTTTCCCTCAGCTCTCCTGCCCCCAAACGCCTTCCCCTGACGCTCACTGCCCCACTGCCCTTCTCTCTTCCTTTACCTCCAACTTCTAGAAGGAGTTGTTAACGCTCCCTCTTCTCCTCTCCTCCTCTGATCACTCAACCTCTAACTGCTTTGGCCCCATCACACCAAGGCCATTGACTAAGGCAGAGACTCCAAGAGTAGCTCAAAGATGCGTGACCGAGCCTTCACGGAGCAGAAAAGTTTGACATTACTGGTAACATGAGAAAAGCAGGATATTTCACATAAAATTGCAGATCTCTTGCTTTCCTTGGCTGACTCTGCCTCCATTCCTGCTTGACAGCAGTTACCCAGAGCTGACCGCTGGCCGCTTTATTTTTGCTGAGACCTGAGTACTAGATTTAGCCACCGTCCCCATCACACCTTGTCACGTAATGAATGCTCTGCTACACCTGAGTAGACAACCGCAGCGTCCTCTAGGTATTCCTGTTGTCGTACGCATGAATTCATAAAACCGACACAACCAGCAGCACGAGGAAGCTGTGACCTGCTGTACCTGTCTGATGAAATGCTCCTGGCAGACCTCACAGAAGGGTATTTTCTGGCATCTGCCAGCCCCATCTCTTCCCCACCTCGGGCCCTGCAGAGCACTAATAGTCTGCACTTGATCATGGATGCGTCATACTCAGCTCGACCACAGTTAACCTAAAGGGGTGCTGGTGGTAATGTCCGCAGGGAGGCCACTGGCTCCTTGGAAGGACAGTGGGCAACTGACAGCCTCAGAAGTCCAGTGGAGGGTCTGCTGGGAGGGGCTCCCACTCCCCAGCAATGAGAATGAAAAAAGCATGGCCAACCCAAAGAGCGCTGGTGGCAAAAGTGTTTGAAACCACCAGCCGCCCCAAGGGGAAGAAGCAGTCTCCTCTCATAAAGGCTGTGGCCTCACACACCCACCCTTCCCATGGGAAGGCCGCCATGAACGCAATCAACTTGACAATGAGTTTGGTGTCTTTGGTTTATTGACCCCAAACCCACCTCGAAGCACTTCCCCAGCATCCCTTCTTGGCCTTCTTCTTTCTCTCCCTCCTCCTCCTCCTGCCGGACCAGCCCATGTCATAAGGAGTAGTAGATGAGGTCACCAGGCTTAGTCAGCACCTCACATTCCCACTGCTGTCCAACCTCTCAGGGAGTCCCGCAGCCTTCACAGGCCAAGCTCAACATACTCAGCACAGTTTATACCCCTTCTGCATCTAACACCTCAAACCGACCCTCCTGTTTTTTGAAATAATGTTTAAGGGGGTCTTCTGTGAAGGTTTATATAATGGTTTAGATTCCCACTGAATCCTTTCCACACAAGGTGTGCAAGGAATCAGTTACGGCCTTTGTAATGTGTAAGTGTATTCAGTTCTGTCTCTTCCGTTTTGATGACACCAGGGAGCTCAGCTCGGGGGTGGGGAGCCTAGTGGTAAAGAGCTGTTCTGCCAACAAAGGTATGCAGTTTGAATTGACCACCTGCTGCAGGGAACAGAGACGGACAATCCCCTCCTGCCCTTAACCACCCCCACCACTGGCCACTGGCCACTAAACACTAGGCCAGCTCTTAAACACTTTTCTCTCATCATCCATGCTCAGACATTCATTTCTTTTACTTGTATCCTAAATCTCTCTCACTTTCTCTTCCCTCCCCATCTGTGGCCACCTCCAGCGTCAGAACTCCGTCCCTCTGGCCCCACGGCCCCTTTGTCACCTACTCCTGACTGCCTCACCCAAAAATCAATCCCTGTGTAGCGTCAGAACTCCCTTTGAAAACATTTCCTTTTGAGACACGGAAAACCACTTCACACATAATCTGATGGTGAACTCTTGGGATCCTTGGTGCTCCCTGGGAAGCATTTGTCACATCCTGCACACACGGTCTATATATATGGATTCGATGCATGTAGGTCAAGGAGCTACATTCATTTAAATGGACTTGACCTTTGTATTTTTTTTAATCACATTTAACTCATATCGTTCCCGCTGACCACAGTGAATGCCGACTGACAGTCACCAAAGTTCTAAGGACATTATTGCAGAAGTAAGAACTCAAAATGAGAAAATTCTTTCTATAATCTTATTCCCCGCCCCCCGCCCACCCCAGCCTTCAGATTAAGAGAAGAGCTGTCTGCTTGATTATTAAACTCACTGCAGTGGGTCAATTTCATAAAAACCTCAGCTCCACAAAACAACTTGTTGCTTGCTGTCCAGTTAGAAGGCACTCACAGATGACCCTTCAGTGGGGTTCAGAGGCTGCAATTACACAAGAGGAGGTGGTCTAACGTTCTCCTGATGAGGTGAACTTGGCTTTGAACCACCAGAGACTCACACCCCCTGGGTTAGAGTGCAACTCCCTGCGGACAAGGCCACCAGAGCTCCCTCTGAGGTTAGCTGTGAAATGCAAACTATGTGTGCTATCCTGCAGCTGGAGGACTTGAACTGCTCAACTTTGGGTCTCCAACACGGCTCCTTACCCAGCAGATCAGGACTCCCTTGTTTATGAAAGGGAGATTGGTTCTTTCCCAAATCAGAGTTGGAAGACTTGTCCTGTACAGTGTGGATCTGATC